ATGATCACAAAGATCTAGCAGGGGAAGCTGCCAGCACCCAGCTCAGGGCAGAGCMAGTCCTGCTGTGCATCTGTCTTGTGGCCTGGGGCAGAGCCAGCAAACAAAGTCCCTGTGGAGCCCTCCCCCACCCGGCCCCTGGTTCTGAGGCCCCCTGAGAGCCTCCACCCCCAGCCACAGAAGAGGGGCTCCTCGCTGCTCAGAAGTCATTGCCCCATTGCCCCTCAGTCCATGCTTTCCCTACAGAAAACCAGTGGACGCTGGGTGTGGGCCCTAGCACCTAGCCTACCCTTTCACAGTGGCTCATTTGTGTCTCCGACAGGGTGACAAGGACTTCCCCCCAGCGGCTGCACAGGTGGCTCACCAGAAGCCTCACGCCTCCATAGATAAGCACCCTTCCCCCAGGACCCAGCACATCCAGCAGCCTCGCAAGTGAAGGAGCACCTGCACCCCGACACCCTGGCAGTCCTGGCTTCGCTTCCCTGTGACATCCCCCATGGACACCCAGCACCTTCTCCAAGAGCTGCTCAATCTGGTAAATCTAAGACAAAGCCAAGCACCTCTTCCTTTGTCTTAAATTTCCATATTTAAAATTAGAAACATTCAAACCCCAAATGTGTTCTAGGAGTCTTGGCGGGATGTCATTGAAAAGATCCTCGCACCCTCCCCCAGAAGTGCCATTAGCAGAATTTGCTGAAACCCAAGTAAAATGAAGTCCTTCACCCTTTAGCCTAATTCTGTCTTTGCGGTGTTCTGAAGTCCTGCCTGTGGTCCTGAGAACAAGAGGGCACAGTGTGGCAAGACTCGATAAGGTTAAGGGAAAGCGCGACCATTTCATGCTTTGTAGTAAAAACGTAACAGTCTGCATGGCCACGGGAGGGTATGACATAAGGGCTGGGCTGGCAGGTCGCAGGGAGGGCCTTTGAGCAGGCACCTGACACTGAATCCCCTCCCTGGGCAACAAGGGTCTCAGTTCAAGGTGCCCAAGCATCACAGGACGCAAAGGAAAGCGATCGGCTCTGAAAAGGCTCTTTCTTTCCAGAGGCCATTGTGCTGAGGWCGTGGGCAGGGGGATCCCAGGAGCACTTGCTGAGTGAGATCAGCATCATCTCAGTCCAGGATCTGGGAAGAAGGAGACAGACCGCAGGTTCAGCAGTCACCTCTAGGGCTGCTCTGGCCTTCTGGAGGTGACCACCTCCCAGGGTGGAGGAGGACACAGCTAGCTCTGGGGTGCTTCACACAAGAGTTGAAAGCATGAGAGATGGGGTCAAGGCCTGCCCTTTGCCTCCCCAGGGATCACCACGTCTCCCCGAGCGTAGTCTGTCTCCCTGAGACCAGAATCCCTCCTACCCAGGCACACATCCGCCTGCACTTGGGCACATCAGATTGTGCAGTTTCTACACGTGTCTCCTGCCCCGAGATGCCCTAGATTAGGCCTTGTCTTGAGGCTATGGTGTGCTCTGCTTTTCCAAAAAAGCAGACGTTAGAAGCTTCTGGAGCGCTGCTCAGGAGAGGGTGTGCCTGACCGTCCCACCCACCAGCAGTGGAGTCTGCTGCAGGTCCAGGTGGCACTGTGGGCATCGTTCACGTGACCAGCCTTTCTGGTACCTTCTTCAGGCTTGTGTGCCAGGTGGCAAAAACCAAGGCAAGCTGGTCAGGGTCAGCTTGTCCTCTTCCCTGGGGGAGAAGCCCAGCACCACATTGATGGGCAGMATTGGTTTCCTGGGATGCCAGGGCATAACCCTCAAGGCCCACATTGCCGATTTCATATTTCTTAATCGCTGAAACGTAGGTATGAACAGAGTGTGTCTTTGGAGACCCAGACTAGGCTGGCAGTACTGCCATGGAACATGCCACAGGAGCAGCCTGCCCCTGTCGTGTTGAAAGGACCTCCTGCCGCCAGAGGCACGCCAGTTTTTCCAGAGGCACGTTCCATTAACTCCAAGCTAGATTGCACACGCGACTGTGGACTCTAGATCCCTGAAAGCAAGTGCTTTTCTGAATGAGTTTATCAATCGCCGACTGCAAGAATAATAGAGATTCTAATAAAGCTCCCACATCAATTCTCATGGCTTGTTTCTCTCACAGAGATTCCCTTTTACATTTTCCTGGGGCTGCCAGGTGGTTTCAGTAGAAATACAAATGTGCATATGTGATGAATATTTTCAAAAAATCATTTCCCAGTCACAGATCTGAACTGTTGAACACCTGGCAACTGRAGCATAATCATCTACTGAGATTGGCAAAAAGTGGAAAAGCTTAATATAGTTGGTGGAAATGTATTACTTGGGCCCAGCAGCTGGGCTGGCCCTGTGCTGAGCAGGCCCATTGGGAACAGATTTTAAAGAGAAGTACTCGTAGTAAGCCTAGGGGTGGTAGTCCCGTAGGTAGTTCTGCATGAGAAGGTGTCCCAGAGGAAATCAGGAGGCAGACAACCCAGAGGTGCAGGACCAAATCCAAGTTTGAGCTGGGAGGGACCCCTRGAATTTTCTCCCTGGAAGCTGCAAGGTCAGGATGGACCAAGCTTGGGCGTGGTCTTTATCACACAATGCAACTCCCTACAGCCCTCTTCGTCACATCCTGCTGCCTCTGGAAGCTGCTGTTTGTATGTGTGTGTGTGTGTCCTGTCTCCTGGGGACAGGGCTGAGGGTCTTACTCATTTTGTGTCATGGGGAAGTCAATATTCTCCATCAATCCACAGTGGTGGATGGAAACACCACACAAACATCAGACATGGACGGGACTGACCCCGGGGGTTTCCCTGTCACTGAGAAATACCATTGTCCCCGCATTGGATCCCTGCTGCTTCCATAATAGAGCCACAAACTGAGTGGCTCCAAACAACAGAGTCACATCCTTTGCCCATTCTGGAATCTGGATGTTGAAAGTCAAGGTGCTGGCAGGACATCTGTCCTCCCTCTGAAGGCATAAGAGGGGCTYCTTCCCACCACCAAGCTTCAGGCAGCCACCACCTTTGCCATTTTYTGGCTCAGAGCAACATAAATCTCATCTCAGACTCTGAAGTCAGATGGCCATCTGCTTCTGTGTGTATCTATGTCCAAATGTCCAAAAGGACACCAGTCATTAGATTTGTGCCTCCTCTGATCCAAYGTGACATCATCTTCACCAATTACAAATGAAAAAACCCTACTTCCAAATGAGGTCACATCTATAGGCAGTGGGAGTCAGTGCTTGAATATTTTAGGGGGAGGACACTAGTCAACCCAGGGCACCAACCTCTTGATAAACTCCTGGCCACACCAGTCCATTAACTGTTCCTTTAGTAAATCACCTTTCCATCACTGCACCTGCCATGCTCAGTTCATGGCAGTGCCACTRGTCACCAAGCAGAGCCATCTGCAGGGGTGGAGAGAGAAGACTAGAAGGGGGTGCAAAGGGGCAGTTGTCCCCCTTTGCAGAGAGCTGTCTGCCCCTGGTTCCCAGAGCTCATGAGCCTACCCTTGAGGGGAAGATGAGGGGGACAGGAGCAGATGTGGACACAGGGAGGTCAGGAAGAGGACAACTAATGGCACCATTGCAGAAGCACAAACTCAGCCTCTCGGCAAAGCCTCTCGTTCTGCAGAAGAGAAAGGAGAAGATGGGAGAGCGCACCACACAGGGCCAGCTGAAGGTGGTTCAAACCTGGCTGAGCCTTGAAAGACTGAACTGAGAGTAGAATGGACTGCAAGTGGAGTTGTTCCAGCCAATCTTAGGACTTCCTCCAACAGTGACCAGAGACAGAACTTGGAGGGAAAAAAAATCCACTTCACTTAGGCTTGGTTACCAACAGGGTGGGCTGGTGCAAGGTCATGGACCAGAGGATCAAGTCTTGGGTCACAARCTCGAATATTGACTGGAAGGGCACAAACACTTGCACAGAACTATACAACCAGTCCTGGCTCTTCCCTAAGCCCAGGTTCAGGCRTCAGGTAAGCACCCATGYMCACACGGCCRCAAAGCTACAGGGTGAGATGTGCCCACCATTTGCAAGAGACCTGGCAATGGAGACATGGGAGTGACCTCCAGCCAAGGGGAGGGCACAGCCTGGGTGGGAGGAGCCTTGAGCTCAGACAGCCAGAGAAGGGACTGTGGGGAAAGGCAGATATTGTCGACCTAGCAGGTATGTAATGAATTAATTATTTTCAGAACATCTGCCTCCTGCCTGGACAGCCCATGGTGTTCTTCCACTGTTCTGCATATTTCCTGACTCCACAGATGCTGCGCTGGTTAAATGCTTCTTTTTACAAACTCAAAGTAAAGTTTTTTCCCCCAAGACCTGGCATCCTGCTGGCCTCTGCAGGATAAAAACAAA